TTCCTGCTAAGAATCCTGTATGAGTTTCCTGTGGCTGCGTGACAAAGTACCAAAAGATACAAGGCTTAAAATAACAGAAATTTATTGTCTCATAGTTTTGGAGGCCAGAAGCTCGAAATCAAGATGTTGGCAGGTCCATGCTCCTTCTGAAATCTGTAGGGGAGAATCTCTTCTAGAATCTCTTCCTAGCTTCTGGTGGTTTGCTGGCAATCCTTGGCGTTCCTTGGCTTGTAGCTGCAGCACTTCAATCTGTGCCTCCATAGTCACATGGCATTCTCCACGTGTGTCTATGTTTTCACATAGTAGTCTCTGTGTCTCTTCCCTTCTTATAAGGACACCTACCCCTGTATGACCTCATTTTAACTTACATCTTAAGTACATCTGTAAAGACCCTATTTCCAAATAAGGTCCCATTCACAGATAGCGGGGGTCAGGATTCAACATCTTTTTTGAGGATACAACAAATCCCATCTTGGGAACTCACCAGTCCTCCCAAATCACTCCTACTCTCCCCTCTCCACATATTCATATCACCCCAACTTGCCTCCCTCTCTTCTCCAAAACCTCTGTCTCACATCCTTCCATAATCATATTAGAGGCCTGTCCTCAGAACGATGGGCCAGAAGAGCAACCTCCAACAGCTTGGAGTTAGAAAGACCAGTTTCTACTGCCCAGAAAGTTCTAAGGAAAGAACATTTTTGTTTCAGTTGCTGGGATTCCAAAAAAAAGATATGCTATGGGGGAATCTGAGTGAGAATTCTGAATGTAGTTTTTCATAGAGGAATTATTAGAAATTGTGGTGAAGGTCTTTAAGTCCATTAAAGGTTATATATGATGCTATCCGTTGGCTTAACAACCGAAATGTCGTAAGTAGCATTATTTATAGAAAAAAATGCACCCAGAGTTTCAAACAATAATCTTACAAAGGAACTTCTGGGATATATCCATTTGTAAGGGATTGCCTGCATTAAAAATATTGCTAACAAAATAGCACAGCAACAACATAAATGTCCCTCCTCAGTGGAGGCATCTTCAAATGGAAGTTGAAGATGGTTTCAGGGAACTGAGTAGGGTAAAAGGACGAGTCAGTGTTTCTCACACTCAAGTCTTTGTGTTCTGAGAAATTTTTTAATTCTGTATTTTTATTTTGATAACAGTAAAAATAAATACGAATACCCGGATTATCTACATGTATACCATATAAATGAGTGATGGCAAACAATTCAGTGCTGCATTTGCATTACGAAGGCATAGGTGCCAAGAAATTCCCTAAAACAGTGCTTAATTTTTAATGTATTGGAAGCACGTCTGGCTGCTCCTAGGCTGACACATCCTAAAATCATAATGAAAATCATGACTCAAGCACTCTTGTATTCCTGTTGTGTTTTTTAATCAGTTATAAGGACAAAATTTATACTTTGCAGTAACGATTTACATCTGAAAGATATCTGCATGGAAAAAGCCTTTTATTTTTAAGAACTGAGACTTAGTTTTCTGACATTCTGAAAATGACAGTGTGGAAGAATAACTAACTCATAAATTATCTCAAGCTAAGCAAAAAATAATACTCAAACGTGTTTGTACCAAATGGAACCCAAATGATACTATAATGTGCTATATGAATAAACGTTGCGCAACTATTCAAAGAGAAGAAACAAATGGAAGAATTAACTCGTCACATAGTGCATGGCAATAGCCAATGCCAAATAAAAAGAAAGCATTCTGTATCATTATCTGTATTACTGCAAGGAAATGTATTATGTTTAATCCTTGCAACAGTTCATTAGCAGAATGTTTCACAGGAAATACATTATGGAAATTAAATTTTTTCCACCATTGTATCATGGGGCATACTATTAAATTGTCCCATTAAATTAAATGTGGGGGGCATGGAAGGTGCTCAGGAAAAAGATGGGAACTCATTTTAGGAGATAGCTATGGAACAAGAGGAGGCACAGAAGTGAGAACATGCTTGAGAAGGTAAATAAACTAGCCTGATGAGATGGAATGGTCCACATTTGGCAAATGAGAAGGTTTTGGGATAAGTCTAATGGCCATATGTAAAAAGAAGGCCTTGTATAAATTAAGTAACTTGTATTTCCTCAAATAGTTTTTCTATTTCAGTTCAATACATGTTCTAAGGCTTTACTATATGGCACCCAATATAGTAAACACTGGAGGTATGAAGACCAGCAAGAAAGGACGTCTATACTCAAGGAAACCATAGTAAAATATGGAAGACACACATAAACAAATAAATGCAATAAACTTTAAGGGTGAATAATCTAAGAATGCACCCAATTGTTTAGAAGATTTCTTAAAGTTTTGTGATTATCTCATCTTGGATGAAGAAAAAAAATGCAGGTGTCAGCCTATGTATTTGGAATTCCCTCAGTATACAATTATTTCTTCTTGGAAGAGAGGTCAAAGTGTCTGTTTTATCCTTACTAGGTTCTCAATGCCCAGCACAGTGCCTGACATATAATAATCCCTCAAATATTTAATAAATAAACACTGAGCATGCTTTGGTTTTAAATATACTATAAATGACAGATAACTTTATATTCAGTAGGACCTGGCAAGAACAATAGTTTGATTACCAAACTATCTCCCTAAGATAAAGGAGTTGAGCTGAGAATAATCCAATCCTCAACTCTTCTTAGGGAGGAACTAAGCAAATGACAGAAAAGCCACCAATTCTGATGTAATAACCTTGGAGGAGACAGAAGAATGAAGAACAAACATTGATATGAGAGAGAAAAAGAAGAAGTGTTTATGAAAATCCTGAAGTCTGGTCACAGATCAAGACTATTCTTGTTGGTATTACAAATATTCTTTTGGGGTGATGCTCTGAGACCCAGCCCAACCCTTCTAACTTTCTCAGGACAGGAGACTACCCTGTCAAGTAAAACATTTGTTCTATTTGGCATTAACCACCACCACCATATAACATCACCTTGATTCTTCTGGTTTGCCCCTTCCACACACACTCACAAATATGTAAGCTACTGAGAGTAGCAATCTCCTATGTCTTGTTTCCAGCTATATCCCTTGCACTTAGAAGAGTGTCTAGCACATATTAGCTGTTCAATAAATGTGTGTTAAACAAAACATATGAGTGGCTCTGCTCTCAGTCACAGCTATTCAAAGGGAAAAAATGTCCGAAACATGACAGTATACTCCGGAATCAAGCGTGGGACAATGGAGGTACAGGTAGTTGAGAGCAATTAATAAGACAGAAAGAAAAGGACTTGATAACTGATTGTTTGTGGGGATTATGGAGGAGGGAGGTGTAAAGCATTTACTAAACAGTCTAGTACGTGGTCAGCTTGTTAAATACTGGCCAATAGTAATAAGAAGAACAACACTGTACAGGTCTGACGCTGAGGAAATAGGTCGGGGCAGAGATATAGAGCTCCTATCCTAACTGAGGAAGAAGAATTACAACACTGGGCCTTGGAGGAAGGGCACGCAGAGGGCTAGGAGCCCAGAAGTAGGAGGTAAAGCAGAAAGTGACGTCAGCGAAACAAGGGCGTAGAGAGTTTTTAGAAGATTCAAGAAATCTCAAGATATTCAAATGGTACAAAGAGGTCTTGCAGAATGCAAACTGAGGGAAAATTAACATTCTTTTTTCCTCTGTAACAACTTAAGTGACGCATTCTGACTCTTTCACTTGAGGCCCTTTTAGCGGCATAAAACGCACTTCACCAAAACTGGACCTGTCCGACAATTCGAACTGTCGACACCAGAGAAGCCCTAGTCACCCTTGCAGTGCCTCCTAATTCCACCTTCCCGTCGACACCTCTGCCCTCCCTCTGCCATCGTCTCCCCGCCTTCGGCCCAGCGCTCCCCGGTGCTTTTACCTGTCTGGACACCGTGTGAGAACTCGGGGAACGGGACAGAGTTGCGCCGGTTAGCGCGGGGTCGCCAACTGCCTGCTCCCGGAGGAGGCTGAACCGGACGCCGCCGGCTTCCGCAAAAGCGCCCCGCCCGCGCGCGGCTTCCTGGGAATGTGAGCGCTCCTCCAATGGGAGCGAGAGGCGGGGAGGGGCCTGCTGCGTTCCCAGCCCCCGCACTTCCCAGGAGCCGCACTGCATTCTGGGAGTGGTAGTTTCGGCTGGCCTATCGCCGAATCTGTCACCCGCTCCATCAACAATTCTTGTCATAAACAACATCAAGCGCTGTTCCTTAGAGAAAGCGAGAGAATGCACGGCCACAAAAAGTCCACTGACGGGGTAAATGAAGAGCCGAGCTTTCCCCACCGTCTCCCTGCTTAGTCTCAGCAGGTAACGTCGCCTGTTACTTCACAGACAAGATAGAATTCATCTGACAGGAATTCCCTCTACTTTCGCCACGAAAATTTTTTAACCTCCTTGGATCCCTCAGCAATCCTTTCTCCCATTCTTTTGCAATAATAAAAATGGTAATAATAATAATAAACCAACTACTCTCCTTTGATGTAAACTCCCTCATCCCCTTTACATCCCTATTCCTTCTTACTCAGTCGAGCTCCACTAATAAACTAGTCTGTCTCGTGTCTCAACGGCTCCCTGCTTATTTGCCCTTTATTATCAGCATTTAAAGATTGTCAAAGTTTCTCTCATCTAAAATATTCCAAAGTCACCTATCTCAACCCCACACCACCCCAAACCTCTCACCACACACAGACTTAACTTCTCCTTTCCAGTCAAAATTCTCAACCGTGTTGCTAGAATAGATACTTTTTAAACATTACCATACTTCAACTCTGCAGGATTTTACATTGGTTATTCCCTCCTTCTTGAAACCCCCTTAGTTTGGGCTGCTTTAACAAAATACCTCAGACTGAATGGCTTAAGCAGAAATTAATTTTCCACAGTTCTGGAGGCTGGGAAGGTTCAGACTAGGGTGCCACAGTATGGTGGGGTTCTGGTGAGGACCTGCTTCCTGGCTTGCAGACTGCTGCCTTCTTGTTGTGTCCTCATGTGGTGGAGAGATAGTATCTCTCACACATCTCTTATAAGGGCACTAATCCCATTCATGAGGGCCCCACCCTCATGATCTAATTAACTCCCAAAGATCCACCTCCAAATACAATCACATTGAGGATCCAGGCTCTAATATATAAATTGGGGTGGGAAGAACACAAACATTCACTTTATAGCACCCTTTATTCTCTTAGCTTTTTCTAAGATGCTGCACTCTTCTGGTTCCCCTCCCACTTTTGTGGCAGATCCTCATTTTCCTTTGAAATGTTCATTTTCCACAGGGCTGTTCCTTACACTCTCTTCTTTTCTTAGTCGTCAAACTTTTCTTGGGTGATCTTAACTAATCCCATTGCTTTGATTATCATCTGTATGCTGATGTTTCTCACATATAGGAAGCCCGGACAAGACTCCTGTAACCCAGACTGAAATATCTAATGAAAGCTGGGCATCTCTTTCAGGCACCTAAAACTTAATGTCGTCTTTAGTTGACCTAATACATTTCTACTCTCCCCTCTCCCATAAGCTGCTCCTCCTTCTCCTCTAATCCTATCTCAGTGAATGGCACAACCATGCAATCAGTTGCCCACACCAGAAAGCTGGGTATCATTTTGAATGCTTTCACTCCTCATAGTTCACATCCAAATAATCAGCAAGCCATGTTAATTCTATTCCCTAAATATCTCACTTGTCAAACTTCAGTTTTCTCATCTTTGAAATGAAGACAATAATGGCACCTGTCTTCAAAGATTGCTGCAATGATAAATGAGCAATACTGCCTGGCAAAGAGTAAGCACTCAAGGACAATAAGCATTTATTGAACAAGCATTATATTTGTCATTAGTTCTTCTTTATTAGGTCTTACATAATGATAGCTAGCATTTACTTTATATTTAGGGAGAAAGAAAAGGAAAATGAGAAATGGTGAGATATTTTGTGTAAGTTACAATCCACTGCACTCCTTAGTATTTTTCCAATCATGACAAAAATATAGCAGTAGTCACGAGGCACTATACAAACTGTTCTACTCTAATGTGTGCAGCATATACCATACCTTATTTATTGTTATCAGCTCTGGCTGGGCTATAGACATTAAAAAAATCATGACAAATGATCTGAGCACTAGAAACCAGAAGTAATATCTCTGTACCTACAGTATCTCCTTCACCATCTCCCTCCCACCCACTCCTCATCACTTGAAATTGTTCTATCTAAAACAAAATCTGATCATTTCCAACTTCTACTTAAAATCTTAATTCACTCCCCATTATGTAGAGGATATCTAAATGGAGAATTCAAGGTCCTCAATGACCTGACCTCTCTCTACCTTCCCTGCTTCATATTCTGCTTCTCTCACCAACACATCCTGTGTTCAAGCCTACTCTTGTATGGTGTCATTCACTAATTCATCCGTGTATCTATTCCTCCAACAAATATGTACTAAGTGCCTACTATGAGCCAGGCCTATTCTGGATTCTGGTGATATAGCAGTGAACAAGACAATGTCCTTGCCTACTGGAGTTAACACTTCAGTGCCATGCTCTTTCATGCCTCAGTGACTTTGCACAGGCTGCCTCCCTTATCTAAATCTTATTTACCCTTCAAGACATATCTTAAATATCACCTCTTAATTTTCCAGCCAAGTATACGCTTTTTTAAGCTTTTTCATCCTCTGCAAAGGTTTACTTTTCATCTTAATATGAATTTAATTTAATTCAATACCTATTATTTGAAACGTTACTTTTTAAAATAATTTATTTATTTACTTTTGGCTGTGTTGGGTCTTCATTTCTGTGCAAGGGCTTTCTCTAGTTGTGGCAAGCGGGGGCCACTCTTCATCGCGGTGCATGGGCCTCTCACTATCGCGGCCTCTCTTGGTGCGGAGCACAGGATTCAGATGCGCAGGCTCCATAGTTGCTGGCAAGCGGGGGCCACTCTTCATCGCGGTGCATGGGCCTCTCACTATCGCGGCCTCTCTTGGTGCGGAGCACAGGATTCAGATGCGCAGGCTCCATAGTTGCGGCTCACAGGCCTAGTTGCTCCGCGGCATGTGGGATCTTCCCAGACCAGGGCTCGAACCCGTGTCCCTGCATTAGCAAGGCAGATTCCCAACCACTGTGCCGCCAGGGAAGCCCGACAGCATAGTATCTTAGAAAGAGAAGTTTTGGATCCAGACAGTCCTGAGTTAATAGCTGTATGAACTCTAAATGTTGCCTCAATTTAGAGGTTTTAGAGCTCTATCAAAGCCCCTCTTGTTACTCTTTATTCTCTCCTAAAGTAATCTCACCTGTGCTTCAAAATTTGTATCTCTAGCACAAGCATTTATACTGGGAAATCAGGGAAAGTTCTCTCTGATGGGGTAATATTTAAGCTGAAATATAAATGTCAAGAAGGAATCAGCCATAAGATCAGAGGGAACAGAAATAAAGCCATAGTGACTGGAGGGTAGTGGAAGTGAGGGGAGAGTAGTAGGAGAGGAGATCACACAGGCCTTTCTGCTCCTCAAATATGTCAAGCTCCTCCTCACTGTATATCTTTGCACCAGCTCTCTCTGCTTGGAGTTTTGTTCCCTCTCATCTTTTTGTGGCCAGAGGGTCTTGCAAGGCTGCGTAAGCTAGAAGGAGTTTGGACTTTATTCTAAGTGTAATGGGAAATAGAGACGTTCAAGCAAAGGAGTGAAATGATGTATGGGTTTTAAAAAGTTATCTGGCTTTATTTAGCATACCAATATACTGTCTACCCTGGTAATAAATTAATATGTACAGTTTTCAAAATATGTTGGGTAGTTTCCAAGAGGAGTGCTTCTGGATGTGTATACTACAGTGCATGCAGAACTGTTTAAATAGGTGACTTTATAATTTGATAATTTTCAAATTTAGAAGTTCTGTTACCATTTCATCAGGTTACTGAAAAATGGATTCTCTTTTTTTATAATATATTATTTTAGATAGTATGAGCTTATGGAGTAAAGGTTTCAATTTCCATTTCAGTTCCTGCAGCTACCAAACCTGGAATTATAGAACTGATGGTTTAGATAACCTAATCCAGTCTCCCAATTATACACATGACAAAGATTACAAAGCTAAGAAGAGATGGAGCCTGGATTACAAACTAGCTTTCTTATAGTAGATGCTCCAGAACTGTCTGTTGTGCTAAAATAAGATACATATATCATACAGAACTCTAGTCATATCTGAGAGATCCTGGTTTTACATTCTGCTTAACAGGATTGGATCGTGATGTGTTATTTTGTAGTTCACAAACAAATCTAGTGACTGTTGTTTTGGCATCAACATCATTCACATTATTGCAATTTATCACTGATCACCAGTGCTATTTATGCTTCTTTTCTCCTGGATATTTGGACTTGGGCAAATTTTCTTCCTGTTCGTCTGTGCTCAAAATAGATCTACCTTGAGAATGCCTGTTCTCCTTTGAAATTCACAATCAGTAGAGGGAGCTAACACATTATCAATATCTACAAAATCATTGACATTTGAGTATGGGACAGTTTGTTTCTCTTTGTAGCTCATTCCAGTTAGTGTCATCACACTTCCTGCTCTGTTGGTCTGAGCCATCAATGGTTCCAACACCAGCTTTGGCAAAGCAGCTGTGGATTACTTCTGAGGTTTCTATCCCACATAGCAATGAAATTTCTCATCATACGAAGGACATGCTGCTTCTTTACACCTGCAATAGAACAGTGCTTCTCATAACATACCAAGCATTTCCATCATCCAACTATTGATGATTTATTATTTCTCAGTCAAATGGCTACACATAGCCATGGTGCTGGCAGGCAAAAATAAAAGACTACAAACGTTTTAATTTAAACCTCTGGTTTCCATGTGCAGCTAACAGTAATAGAATGTTCACATTCTGGTAAGCCATTTTACTTTCTATTGCAGGAGCCATTTCCCAAACAACCTGCCAGACGTCAGTGCATTTTTGTTAAGTTTATATACACACAGGAAAGTTGTGTATAAAAGGGGAGTTTTCAAATTTCCATATTGATTCTA